AGAGAGAGCTGTAGGTACATGAGTTGGGACCTTATGACATTTCTGAGCTCTTATTTACTTTGTAATATATTCTCTTGTTTAGTTGTAATATATTCAAAAATTAGTAAGTAAATACCTTCTCTCTTATAACAAAAAATACCCTCTCCCTTATAAGAATAAGGACTCTATAAATTCTATTGATCTAATACAAGCCAAGTAGAAGAATTAAATGATTGCGATCCAAATCACATATCCAGGACTACGAAGACAGCCCAGTAAATAAGATCACTTGCTGCACAAGCACCATGACCTGAGTTCAGACCCCCAGCACCCTAACACTGGGGATGATAGAGACATGAAGATCACTGGGGTTTCCTGACTAGTCAGTCTAGATGAAAAAGTCATTTCCAGGTTCAGTGGGAGACCCTGTCTCAAGGGAATAAGACAGAAATTGACAGAAGGCATGTGATATCTTCCTCTGGCCTCCATGTACATGAGTGAGCACCCACACACGTGCACACATGAATTCACCCCACACAACATACACATATACAACTCAGAGGTACACACAGACAAACACACAAATCGCATATCCAGGCTGTGGATGTAGGTCACTGGCAGAGTATATGCATAGCATGGGCAAGGCCCTGGGTTCAATCCTCAGCACACACAAAATATCACATAATTATATATGTATATTTTTAACTTTTTAAAAATTTTTATTATTTTTATTTTATATGTATGTGTGTATTGCCTGCATGTAGATAAGTGCACCCATGTTGTGCAGTGCCCACAGAGGTCAGAAGAGGCTGTCAGATCCCCCTGGGACTGAAGTTACAGACAGCTGTTAGCTGCCATGTGGGTGCTGGGATACAAACCCAGGTCTTCTGCGAGAACAACCAGTGTTCTTAACCGCTAAGCCATCTCGCCAGCCCCACATAATTATATTTTTACTTTACCTCCTCTCCTGCACCCAGTCTGTCATTTCAGAATGGTAGAGCCTAATATTGGCAGAAGTTGCTATAAGAGACAAGAGTCTGCATAGAAACTGAAAGGGAAAGAGGGTAAGATGTGAAATTCCTGAGTGCGCTATATGCACAACTAAGAATTCCTAAACGAACTGGGATTTTCTCACAATTACAAACTTGGAAAAGTACACTATTGCCCAGATAACGACATTTAGTCACTTGTGTGTATGTTGGACTAAATTGAAATTGCACAACCACCATGGGAATTAATGACTACTTAGTGCATTACTCTGTTAATATTACACTTCTCATATATGAATTTTAGAAATTCACAAGCTTCCTCTCTTGTGGTACTCTAGAGAGAAATACAAGCTTTGATTAAACAAAAGTGTAGGATCATGCCAAAGTTATTTTTCTTCATAGATTAAATGAGTGAAATCATACAGTTTTACCATCAGAAGGATTTTTATATATTTAACATTCAATTAGTACATTTTTATTGGTTGATTAAGGCAGGGGAGAGGCTAATAAGAAAAAAATGATTGCCTGACTAACAAAATTTAAGAGGCAGCTCTGAGGAATTTTCCAGCACCAAGCCACATTTTACTCGAACTGTAGCAGGTTACCTATGTCAACTCCTTACCTGGAGAAAGGAGGACAAATTGAAGAGGGAGAAGAAACTGGAAAAGCTCTGAAAAATGATTGTCTGAGAATGGAATGAACACATTTTATATTTTTGAATTACCTTTATTTTCTTTTCTTTTTTTTTTTTTTTTGTTTCCATTTTTGTCAATGCATTTCCTTTGGAAAGTTCCAGACTGCTTTTAGTTGATAAAAAAAAAATAATAATAAACTGGAAAACGTGTTTATTTTGCTAGTGCCGGGACCACAGATAAAGAAAAAGTGCCCAGCCCCTAGGGACCTTGCCTGCCAACAGGAATGAAGGTTGCTGTAGTTTAGCAAAATGCAGAAGTGTCAGGTTGCTGCTGCCTCAGGAAAGTCATTCTCTAGTCATTTCTTACCAATGTGTTGTTTGATTCTCTAATATAATTTCATTGAAGAGCCATAGACCCCTTAAGCTTTAACTATGCAAGGCTACGAAACAGCTGATCTCCAAAAGTATATATGTGAAATTCATGGCACAAAAACAATAAATACTATTGTGAGTTCGTAGAAATAGAAGCTCAAGCTTCTTTAAGATATCCTTCCTCCAAGGAAAACTGCACTAAACCATTCAGAAAAAAATATAGTTAGCGTTTTAATTCTATTCTTAGTAAACTTAGTTCTTAGACAAGAATTTCCAAATTTTCTCCTCATTGAACTTTATAATTAAATGCTTGTAAGAGAAAAATAGAAGAAATAATTACTTCATAGAGAGAAATATTTTATAATGCCATATTCTTCTTTAGATATGAAAGCTATGTACATACATCAGCACACATCTGTGACCACCCATGGTCTGTATTCCAAGTCTTCCTCCCCCAGGAAATGTAAAGAGGGATGAAGGGAAAAACAAGGAGTCATGGAAGCCAAAAACCAGCTCTAAATCTGTCCGTATAGCTTTGATATCCCATCACACTCTGGATCTGTACTTAAGGCTGCTAAGTTCCCCTGACCCTTCTGGACTACTTCTGAGGTCACTAACTTCCTTTTTAATCTTATGATTTCAGCTTGAACATAGCCTGACGTTACAACGTAAGAAGCAGTGACCACAATAAAAAGGAATATTTGCAAGGGCGCTGCAGTGCCAGAAAGAGGTATGGCTCCATTTTCAAAATGAACCTAGTTAGTTCAACGTGCAATTTTCTTAATAAAGTAACGTTCTTCATCATCTATACTAAAATAAAATCAACACCATTTTGTGTGTTTCTTCCTTTCATAATCAATTCATGATTCATTTGTTTGGTGCTATGATGAGTTTTACTATACATATTGCAACCTCTCCACACATATGAATTACTACTCCTCAACGCCCACTCCCTTCCCCAACCATGAGCTGTTTGAAGGCAGGAGTGAATTCTTAGAAATCGTAAGCTTCCAAAGGAACTCTCTGTATCCATCTAGTGGGGGTCACGTCATTAAGGAAATCACCATAAATTGTGTAAAAATGAATTACATGCCGTTCAGGCATTTTAGGCTGTTATCTGTGAAATGGCTGGCTTGCACTAAATGAGCTCTACCCCTTTAGCATGTAGTCCTTGTTTGAAAGTTTTACAATCTGCTTTTTATGGCCTAATATAATTCATTAGTTAGATTTATATGTAAATAAAAAGTCCAACCTGAATACTGAAATTTATAGGAAAGTTTACGTTAGTTTTGAAGGGCTCTGGAGGTTATCAATGGAATTAGACATCATTCATTTCTTTGTGTACTTTTCAATGTTACTTATCAGATCTATTTGACACCTTTTGTTCAAATAGCTGAAATTTTCAAATTTATTTGTAACACGTAACAGATAAACAAATAGTTGGTTTACATCAATGATGTAGGCAATTTTAACCCTTATAGCCTTATGATTTAGTACCTTCCTTAGTACTTCGGGAGGCAACTTTATCTACATCAGCATCTGTGGCTCTGTGGCTGAAAAACCTTAAATTACACTGGAATAAGAACTTAACTCTAAATAGCTTCAACTAAATAACTACACTTTCAAATGATAAGCTGTTTCTGTCATTCATTTGCTAATCCAGTTAACAGACTTTTTATGGGCAAAGAGGATAAGTAACAGGCCTTGTATAAGATGCTGCCTCATTTATCAACCAGATAGTCTGAAAGGAAGATAACATATTTATACAAATCACTGGTGTGCAAGACAGATTCAAATTTTTCTAGGAGTTAATCAAGAATAGAAATTACTTGGGATATAGGAGACAGACAGCATAGTAAAAACGGTACAATTGAGTCTGAATGGCGGACAGTTTTATAATCATAGGTGAAGAAAAAGCCATCTCAGGAAGAAAAAAATGATCATAAAAAGACTGGAACATGAGAAAATATATGGCACATGTTCCTTGTATAGTAAAGTAACTGTTTCTTTAAACTATAAGGTTGACAAATAGGAGGCATAAGGGAGACACTAGAAAGGACATAATGCAACCAGAAGTCAAGGAACCTGAAATAACAGGCCAAGAATTCTGGATTATTCTAAAAGCACTTGAGGATTGCTGAAGTTCTGTTTTCTTTTTGTTTGTTTTGTCTTGTTTTTTTTTTTTTTTTTTTTTTGGATTTTGACTCTTTAAACTTGAATCCTCTTGTGTGAACCATAGCAAGGTTTCCTGTATTTAGTAACTACATGATTAAAAGAAGCATTTCATTACAGCATTAATACATATTCAATAACAATTTCCAGAGCAATGATGCATCTCTTTCAAAACTGGCTGTAAACTTTTAGGTTCATAGTTCATTTAATACAGTTGTACAATATTGAACTCAATATAAACCTTGTAAGACATAATATTGAATGAGTTTTTAACTTTTAAAAAAGATCTCCATTTCATTTTTAAAATATACTGTTTCCTACAGAAAGACTCATTTTTAATGCTACTAACACTTAGATGCTTCCACATGCGTCTCTAATCTTTACATATCTAATTATTACTAGTCACAGTCAGTTACACTAGGATCCCTAGCACCTGAGTATGGATATAAAGTCATCAGGTAGATTTCAGTGGTCATGTTTATCACTTCTACTAATTAACATGAAGTAAATTTTTATGCTTCTTCCTCAAATATAACTCATTTTTTATTTGTTGATTTTTTTTGTGTTTATCATACAGAACATCCCAAACAAACTTACTCATCTATATACCCAAATAGCACCCTCCCATAGCCTCCCCGACCCCCACCCCAGAGCCCATATACTCTGTCATCCCTGTTACTGTCCACTGCGCTGTCGGCAGCCCCCCCCAGCCGTTCCCCAGTGAGCACAAAAATCTTTCGCCTTTTTGGGGTCTTTTTGAGACAGGGTCTCCCTGTAGTAACAGCTGGTCTAGAACTCATTATGGAGACCAGGCTTGCCTTGATTTCCAGACATCCACCTGCCTCTACCTCCCAATTTTGAGATTAAAAGCATGCGCCACCATGTCCAGCGTGATTATACATATAATGAAATACCAGGTGATATTTGAACATATGCATACAGCATAGAGTCATGAAGTCAGAGTAATTAACAATGAACACTTTCAAAAAGGATATGACACAACTAGAAGCCACAATGTGTGGCAAATTATTTTGGAATGTTTGTAGCAAGATGATTGAAGATTCATGAGAATAGAAAGGTCTTCAGGTAATTGTCTAATACCTTTCAAATGTGGTTCTCTCAAAGGCTCTGACAAAAGAAAGTAGAAGGCTGATTCTCAGGGGCTTGGGAGATGTTAATTAACAGGTACAAACTTTCAGTTACAAGATTTCTAGTAGATGTTCTAGCAGACAAATGTACAGCACGGTGATCAAAATTAATAAAAACTATATTGCATACTTGAAATTTGCTAAAAATAAGATCTAAATATTCTCACCATATACACGCAATAAAATAGTAAGCATCTGCGGTGATGGATGTGGTTTTGGTTTGGTTTAGGTATTGGTTTTGAGAAAAGGTCTCCCTATGTAGCCCATGCTGATCTCACATTCACGATCTTCCTGCATCAGCTTCCCAAGTGCTGGGATTACAGGAATATACCACCAAGATGTGGTAGAGGTGTTACATTGTGATAGAGGTGTTAACTTTATGGTGACAATCTTCCCACACTGCACACATATATAAAATCATTTAATGAAATTACCCTAGTAATCATTTTGTGATGTATCTCAGATCATGTTGTATATCATATTATACACATATATTAAAATATGCTACATTTATTTCTCAATTATTGTGATTAAAGCTAAAATGGGGAGGCTATATCAAAATCTCAATAGCACCATCTAGTGCCTCATAGCATAATATGGCCCAGCTTGAAGAAAACACTTAAAATAGTGTCATAAAAAAAAAAAAAAAACTGGATTAATTTAGGGCAGTTTCCCTTCCTTCATCTGAGTTCAGTGGTGAAAAGGTAGGTACCTGGAGAGCAAACTGAAAAATAATTCAGAGGTTAGGAATGGTGGGCTGGTATTTTCTCTCTAGCCGCAGAACTATTCTTCTTCATTTTTGTCCCTTTATCTTATATCAACAGTTCTTGGTGACAAATAGTGGCATTTTTAAATGAAAGAAAAATTTATAAAGAGCTGGAATGGTGAGATGGATGGATGACACATACCCAATAGTAGATAAAACTGTTCACAGTCGGAAACTTGGGAAGTTCTATCCCACCTACAACCACCACCAGAGCTGTCTGTTTCTGTATCCCCACTACACAGACAAGATCAGCCCTATTCAGTGCTAGCCCATATTGAATGCTTGAGTAAGCATTCTTCCAGATAACTTGCTTTCCAAGGATCAAGTGTTGTGTAAAATGTCAACAAATCAGACCAGTAAAAGATTAAGTATTGAATTGCTTCCATTTACATAAATACAAAAGAATCTGGATGAACATTGAAGGAATTACTATTACTATATGCTGTTTCATCCATTTCTAATAAAAGGTTGTTAACTACCCTAATGAACTTGGATAGACCAAGTAACAATCTTTTGCTATAAGAGAAATGACTGTGTCTGGCTAAACCTCAAAGCTTTGAACAGAAGCCTAAGAAGAGAATAGGAACCAACAGCTACAACAATTTCCTCACCCAACAAATATATTCCAACTAGTTATACCACATCTTTCCTCAGAACCTTCAAAAATTATGGTACAGATTTTTCAAATGTATATTTCCCCTCTCTGAAACATTTTTCTGATCATTAACAGCATGGACTCTAAGATTTCCCCAGTCGTGGTGTTCTATAATTCTAAATAGAGTTAACCATGTCCCAGATTAAGAATCTTCCCCAACAGGATGAGTTTCACTAACACGAATTAGATCATTTTCCTTATGTATGAATGAGCAGCAGCCAGAAGATGTTGTTACCTAGATGCCCTCTTTCAGCAGAAACCAAGTATTCACATCCAGATTTTATTCTCTAACAGAATTGAAATCTCCTCCACTCAATGGAGTGGTAACTTTGATGATAGATCTGTAGATAGATGCTAGACAGATTGATTGATAGGTGCTAGACAGATAGGTAGATAAACAAATGATAAAAACACACTCATTTGTAAATCTAGTATATTTTTCTCTAAGTGAAAAAATCACAAATTCATTTGAATGGAAAATTTACAGAATAGTACTAGAGTACTATGATCTGAAATGTGAGAGAGCTATTTTACTTGGAGGTTAAGAGGAACTCCATCAGGAAAGTTTTGTGCATACCTGTGTGACCCAAACCCTCCTCCTGGAGCCAGAGTTCAACTGAATCTCTCATTGCTGCACAATTTCTTCCTGCTGTGCTCAATGAGCACATGGGCAGCACTAACTGGCTGGGTGGATTTTTTTTAAAGAAGAGGGCATGATGTTTTCTAATTTTTAATTTAGGTAAAACTTAGAAAATTCGAATTTCTACCTGCTGTGCTCAATGAGCACATGAGTAGCACTAACTGGCTGGGTGGATTTTTTTAAAGAAGAGGACATGAACTTGGGAGGAAGATGTGTCAAGAGGAGCCTGGGGAAACTTAAAGGGGGTAATGGGGGCTGGATATGATAAAATATATTGTGCATATGTATGAAATTTTCAAAGAATAAAAATCCCATCAAAATGTTTTGATTACACATAAAAAGGCATAAATAGTGACACAGCGAAATGAAACATAAACGTGCCTCATATTTTAAAATCGTAGTAAACATTGACAAGATTTTACATATATGTATTGCAGGCACCAACAGAACATGGATGGAGCTGGAAATCTGACAGCATCGCCTATCAGATGCCCGGACATCGACGACTTCCGCAATCAAGTGTACTCCACAATGTACTCTATGATCTCTGTTGTGGGCTTCTTTGGCAATGGTTTTGTGCTCTATGTCCTTATAAAAACGTATCACGAGAAATCAGCCTTCCAAGTATACATGATTAATTTAGCGATAGCGGATCTATTGTGTGTATGTACATTGCCTCTCCGTGTGGTCTATTATGTTCACAAAGGCATTTGGCTCTTTGGTGACTTTCTGTGCCGACTCAGCACCTATGCCTTGTATGTTAACATGTACTGTAGCATCTTCTTTATGACAGCCATGAGTTTTTTCCGGTGTGTTGCTATTGTTTTCCCAGTTCAGAACATTAAGTTGGTTACACAGAAAAAAGCCAAATTTGTGTGTGTTGGAATTTGGATTTTTGTGGTTTTGATCAGTTCTCCATTTTTAATATCCGGGTCTTACCAAGATATGAAAAACAATACTAAGTGCTTTGAGCCTCCACAGGACAGTGAAACTAAAAAAAAAATTTATATTTTGGTCTTGCATTATGTGTCATTATTCATTGGCTTCATCATCCCTTTCCTCATTATAATTGTCTGTTACACAATGATCATTCTGACATTACTAAAAAATTCAATGAAGAAAAATCTGGCAAGTCGTAAAAAGGCTATAGGAATGATCATCATTGTGACATCTGTTTTTTTAATCAGCTTTATGCCATATCATATTCAACGCACAATCCACCTTCAGTTTTTAAGTGAAACTAAACCCTGTGATTCTGTCCTTAGGATGCAGAAGTCGGTGGTCATAACCTTATCTCTGGCCGCATCGAATTGTTGCTTTGACCCTCTCTTATACTTCTTTTCAGGTGGGAACTTTAGGAGAAGGCTGTCTACATTTAGAAAACATTCTTTGTCCAGTTTGACTTATGTACCCAAGAAGAAGGCATCCTTGCCAGAAAAAGTAGATGAAATAGGTACAGAATAATTCAAATTCATCTCCAGTACAAACCAGTGAACTGTTTCCCAAATAAATATTTTCCCAAATCACTTACAATAAAAATTAATTTCTGATTAATAATTTACAAATAATCAATAATATGTGCCTTTAAATGTATCACATTTATAAGTCCTATTAGATATTTTAAGTATTCAAAATTCAATTCATAACAATGAGCTAAATTATAGAATTTTTTAACCATTCACTAGAAGGTGGAGAACATTTATGATTTTGCACTCTAAAACTGAGTATGAAATCAAGGTTTTCCTCCTCAGATAAAAGCTTCGCAAAGGATACAAACTACACTTTTGATTCTAGATTTTAAGTACAGCTTTAAAATTAGCAAATAGTCGTCAATCATCTTAATGTGTCCCTTTGCATGCATGCATTAGATGAAACCTGGAGATGACCCAGGAGCTACAGAAATGTACTGTCAGCCTTTTCCTTTGTAGTGTTGACTAGCTAGGCAAAGTAGTGCCATTTCTTCCAGAAGAGAATGTACCAGTGCTAGAATAGAGTAAAATTCAGCCAAATGGCTTACAGGCCACATGCAATAGACTGCCTGGAAACTGAAGAAGATAAATCTGATCAAAAGCCAACTTGTCTCCAATCTTCTATCTTTGACTCAAGCTCACCAAAGGCATGGTGTTTTTGTTGCCCACTGAGGTTCCTGTAAGGAATCCAACCTCAATTGGACATATAGTTCTTCCTTAAAAAGTCAGACAACTGGCATTTCCATATATGAGCAGAAGTAATTAAAATTTGGCTCAAGAACAAGAACAAGGCCCTCCTTTCTACATGAGTATTACTGGATCAAAATTTATTACAGAAGACACCTGAAGAAGATTTGGAGCATCCATGTCACAAATTCTTTTAAGAAGTATATGTATTTGCAGTATGTGTGTAAATATACAACCTTGTTCTATGGCATGCATTTATGAATGAAAGTTAACTAATGAGATTTATTATTTCTATACTTTGCTTTTTATTGGTGTGTTAAAGGACTATCAATTATTTACAGTGATTTTATTATTACAGTAGAACTTTTGTTCTTAAAGCAAAACAGTGAAAACAGCTTGGTTGTGACTAAAATATGATATTCATTGGCAAAATTTTTTGAAGTTCAATTTGCTCAACTCTGTTCCAAAAGTCATATAACTTCAGAAGAAAGAAATAATAACAGAGATGGGGAAAAGGAATGGAGTTCTATCTGAATCTGCCACATGTACATTATTTCTATCTCACTTCTTTTGTTGCACTCCCTTGGCAAAAACCAAAGAAACATAATAAAGAGAGTCCTTTGATGCACAAAAATAACTGGTACCCACTGAATTTTATTTAACATACCTGAACACTGGCAGTATCCAGACTTTCACTCTGTTTTTCTCTCTTGTTTGAGGCAAATATCAAACACAATATCTATCACAAATAGCCTTCATTTCTTATTTTATACTTTGGGGCAAGCAACACAGTGTGGTAGAAGAGGACACTGGAAGCCAGGAGACCTAGATGCAAACTTGATCTCTATTACTAGTTGCGTACTTTAAGTAAGCCCCATAAACCCTGAATTTCAACTTCCTCAATTGTAAAATGAGAATGTTACTTGTTTTACCTTTCTTGTGGGCATTTATGAAACTCAAATGAGATAGAGATGGAAAAGTTTTACATTTAAAATATATAGTAACACATCATTTTAAAGTATTTAAAAATGGTTTTGTTAAATATGTTGATTCATATTAAGTACATCAATCCTTGATTTTGAAATAATTATAATAAAACATGCCACAGTTAAATTCTGTTGCATATAAAAGAATCATGTTGCTTATTTATTCCTATCTCCAAACTTTTGTCTGTGTTTCCATTTCTACACACATAGCCATATATATGATATAGAAACACACCATAAACCTTCAGTCATCTACAAACCCATCATGAATGTATTCTTTCATTTCTTTCATGAATTACATATTTATAGCCTATACCATACAAGTTAGAACTTACTAAGTTTCCCAATTCTTCCACATATGATAGTATTTTCTCCCAAAATATTATCACTGATCCTTGTGAATTGATCAGCTCCTTGAGATGATAAATCATATCTTTAGATGGAAGTATTTACCATTAATGAGCTCTATATACTATATTCTATTATGCATGTTTTACCTCTACCAATGTATTCAATATATCTGCCCTGAGAGGTAGGTACCAATATTATCCTTATTTTGCCAGCAAACTTCAGAACCAAGATTCAAATCCAGGCACTCTGATACTAGAGCCTATGTTCTTAATTTTCTAAATATCCTGCAGCACCATTTTCAGATATGACATTTTAGTTATACAAGACAAATAGGTCCTAGAGATTTGCTATACAAAATTATGCCTTTAATATTTTAATATGACAAATCTCATGTTGTATTATTGCCACAAACAGATGATTGAAAAGTTGATAGATCAATAGATACATAGATAGACGATAGATAACTAAAGTGTATGTGTAAGATTTTTTAACTGTATGAACACATGAACTCTGATTTAAGGTCTGTTAATTTAGTCAGAAAAACACCATAACAAAATTATAAAGTAGCTTAGACTATTGAAATTAGAAGTACCTCAATACTTGCAATTTCTAATGACAATATAATAGACTATGGAATTATCATTAACACATTCCTTTGGTCACCAGCACCTTATCAGTTATTCAAACTGTCTCTCATTATACACTAATTTCATACACCCAATATTGCTTATGTACCTCTCAATAATTTCTGATCTCAAGCAAATGCTCTGTATTTTAATTTTCAGAATAAATAAATTGATTTTGTGTGCTCAACTCTGGTTTTCCTGGTTATAAAATCTCCTGGGTGTTCATGAAAGTAAAGTAATTATGCAATCCTAATTTTTAATTGGACTTTAAGATAATTAATTGTATTTTTCAACAACTATCTCTTACTAACACATTAGTGACTTCTACTGTGGAAAATTTAGAAACTTGAGCAGTGAGATTAGTATCATAGCAATGTAAACTCAAGGGACCCTTTTGGTGAGCAATATCACACTAATGAGTAGAAGAGTAAGTTAATTTATTCTAATCTACATCATGTGTACAACCTGGGTTATATTGGCTTTGTATGATATAAAAATATAGAGGCCCTGCCCTCTGCTTCCTCTACTTCCTAGGTTGCACTACCCTCAGACCCTCTGCTTCCCTGGGCCTGCCTCAACCTGCAGACCTCTCTCCGACCCACAGTGGGTAAGCTGATCGGGCCCCTCTCACCTTGACTCCCCGAGACTCATTCACCCTCCCATCTCCCCCACTTGTCTCTCCTCCTAGCCTAGGTCCTGTCCCAGTCCTTGTCTTAGCACCCCAGACACCTGGGGAACCACAACTGCTTCCTGATCCTTTGCAACCACACCAACCCAGTTCCTTCTGGGATCCCCAGGAGCCCTCTGGGCCTGGTCCTGCCCTCAACTCCCTATGCTTCCCTAGACTGCACAACCCACAAGCCTCTCTCCTGGACACCAGGGCTGACCTTTCCTCTCCCTGCTCCTTTGCATCAAGGCCAACCCAGTTCCTCAGTGCAGTCCCCAGGAGCCCTTAGGGCCTCTTGCCACTGCCGTCTCCCTTTGAATCTCTGGGTAGGAGAGCCACCAGCTGCCCTAGAGCAGCATCTTTCCTAGGCTCTGTTCCCAAGCCAGTCCAACCCCCAAATTCCTGAGGCCAAAAATCTTTCCTGGAAGGATCCAGGCCTTAGGAGAAAGCCTGAGAGCATCTGATCCTCAACTGACTTGGGCCACTGTGGGACCTCCTGAAGGCAAAAGCAATTGGGCTACTCCAATATAAAATCAAAAGAGAGAACCGGAAGCTTAGAGGAACCAGCTTTTCATGCGCAAAAAGTAAACTACAAAGACACAAAAAGTTTACAAAAAGAAGCAGACCTAAACTTGAAGGCTTGAGTCTCACACAAGAATCAGAAATGACAAAAGAAATTCACATGTCAAAATCACAGAGAAAAAATAGTAACATGGAAAACCAAAATAACATATCCCCACCAAATACCAATAGTCCTCTAGAGGAGTACA